TAAACCACTTACCTACTTGAGTTACTTATTATCGTCAGGCGGGGTAAATTTTCCCTGATTTTCTGAAAAAATCTTTAAAATAGTTCCTTTTCTTTGATGTTTCAACAAATATTTATTTTAAAGAATTAAACTGCCACCTAGAAATGTTTTTGTCAGCTGCTGTGATGTGGTAACTAGTAACAGGACAAACGACATTTCTGCGTGATTCTCTAAGCCTCAGTAGCCTTAGCAGGCATATGTTAGGAGAAATGCACTATTTTAGTGAACACACAGGAAAACATGTCATAAAATACCTCTACAGATACCTCAGCAATTTTTTCCACTTGTACTTATTACAGAATTTTAAGGGAAAAGTAGTTTTGTAATTCACTTTTCAGACTATAGATAAAACCATCTGTAACTGAGAGTCGTGCTACAGAGAAAATGTTTACTTGATAAATACAATTCTGCATGACTACAAAAGTAATAAACAAGTGAGAGAAAAACAGGATGCCTCTGTGTCAGGGGAAGGGATTTTTATCCCTTTAGTAAAAAATTAGTTACTACAAGCAATTGGAAGCAAACAAACATACATCACATAGCAGATGTTCAGGAGATCTTGCATAGTTCCTTAGGACCCCTAAATCAGCTTTTACAGGTCTGTCTGTCAGGTTCGACACACATCAGCCTACCTACATGCAGCATATGAAACATTCATGCATCTATGCAACCCATACAACATGCTCCAGCCCATGGCTGCAGGTGCCCAAAAGATGCAGAGAGGAAAGCTCTGTAAAACTTGGGGTCACCTGTGGTAACAAGCAACAGAACCAACAGGAAGCGACTCAATTAAACACTGTTTTTGCCCCATCTCCACGTAGTAACAGAAATACACACATTATGGAAAATTCTAATTTCTGTACTTTCTAAATGCTTGTGTCAAGCATCCAGAACCACTGTGAAATTTCTGGTAAGTGAATAACTCACTACTTGAGAGCAGTTTCAGCTTTTGGATTTTACTGTGGTGTGTAAAATAATTAAGATTAAATTACTCTGTTTGAACAGGAAGCAGGAATAAAATTAAAAAATCCCACGAGCTTTATACCAATGAGAGACTCCTAAGTGAACATGTCACATCTCAGAGCTATTCTCACTTAACATTTTCTTTATTATGAGAAAGTTTATAGGCTAACCTCAGGAATGATGTTTATTTTTAGGAACTACTATATTAGTACTCTATCACTACCTAAAAGTAGCCTGAAACAACTTCTTAATGGTTAGCTGATTTAGTTAACACATTCACTCAGTGTGGACAAGAACCAATCACTTTAATTTAAAACCTACACTCATTTGCTAAACTTCATTAAGTAATTTCAAAGTATCACATAGAATACTACTGCAGGACCCACAGTAGGAAAAAAAAAGCAGCCTACAATTTCAAAATACCAAGTCTGCCATGGCATTTATGATGACATGCTTCTCTTTATTTTCTTATTAACAACAGAGAGAGGAAGAGAAGGGAATGGGAAGAAAAGGCAATAAAGAAAAATAAAAAGGAGAAAAAAATTGCAATATTCCCACTATAAGTCATACTGGTAATATTCAAACAATAGAAAAGATAAGTACTAGTCACACAGCAAAAAAACTAGAATTGTTGAAGAAAACAAAAAAATGCACTTCAGTGCAAACTTAAGTGTTTCAGCTGCATCATTTAAAAGGTGGTAAATGCTTTTCATGAATGGCATGGGGCTATGATATGACATGAGGCGCAGTACAGAACTACATATAAAATCCATGCACCATACTCACAAGTATAAGTGATCCAGTAAGTGCAGAAATTAAAAAAATTGCCAAGGTTCAGCTTTGCTTAATCTCCAGTTTTTCACCAGGAAAAAAAAAAACCCAAAATCGAACCCTTTACATGCCATGATGACTAAACTTTATTCTAGTAATTCCCTAGTAACTGCAAAAAATTTTCTGCAACGCTTCCCTAGTTAAGAAATATTGCTCTTGCACTTCTGACAAGTATGCAACTTCTTCAAAAACATGCTGGGTTGCAATTTTGAAGCATATTGTCACTTACTGGCTCATCTTCAAAAATGAAGGGAACCACTGCAGAAAATGAAATTTTAACAATGGTGCAGTTATAAGCAACTCAATACTGGCTTGCCTGTTACAACTGCCCATTAAAACACAAATCTTGATAGCGTCAGCAAGTCAAATGAATTAGCAAAGAAATCAGCTTATTAAAATCAAGTCCAAATAAAATCTATCAACTAGTATATCAAGGATACATCTATTTCCTTTCAACACTTCTAACAGAAGACAGTAACTTAGAATCATATTACAATACAAAGGGCTTTCTTAGACTTATGTACCCTGTACAAAATAATTATATAGCTTTCAGGATAATGAACATGATTTTCATCTACCAACAAAATTAACAGGGGATTCTACTTTGGCTTCTACAGACAAAGCACTGAAGTCCATGCAACAGCAATTTAGTACTGTTTGCTCATTTAGACAAAATGGAAACTAGTTTCATAAAACTCTCATAAAACATGAGAGGAGACAAAGTAGAAGAAGAAAAGAGAAAAAAGACAATAAAAGATTGCAGAATAATGTTGTGTTTCATATGGAGGTGAGAATACTGAATTGTGGAGTCAAGAGGCTTTCCCTGTGTAAAAAGCTGTAAACATATAAGCAAGGATGAAGAGATTTTGCTCTTTAACAAATTGTCTACTTTAATTTTGTGAGGATAACATACTTGCCAGTCAGCATCACCAAGTAGAAAAAACAAGAATTCCAAGAAAAGATCTTTCAGAGATCAAGCATGTCCTGGTATTACAATTTCAGAATGACATTGAAGACATTTAAGAAGGAGATTCTCAAATCTGCCTCTAGAAGCAAAGGCAGATGTAGGTAGAAAAGACTGCAAAACTAAAATTCTTAAGCTGAAAGAACCTAACATAGCTGAAGTACTACTGGCTACTAAGTGTAGTAACTTGTAAAGACCACCTAATATTGGATGAGTAGGTAATGGGTACAGCATTTCTTGTGGAATAGATGTGATGAATTGTTTGGTTTTAACTCAATGAAATGGTTTTAACCCTCAATGAAACGACATATGTTGCTACTTTGGAGTGACTAGAAAAATCATTGTAAAGTTTTCACTAACACATGATTTACAAGCCATAGGAAGTAAATGAAAATGCTGTTGGCTCTTTCACTTAACCAGCTACACACAACTTACCCTTGAGCACACATTTGCTTTTTGCTAAGAAATAGGCTTACAAAAACTTCCTCCTTATTTAGGCTCTCATCTAAAAAAAAATAAAAAATCAGTTGCTACAGAGATTGCTCACTTAAAAAAAAAAAAAACGTTAACAAAGCCAGTCCTTGTCTGTCTTAATCTACAGGCACTCTGAAATAACACAGAAACATGTACTGCTGAAAGCTCAACTCCTGTGCCAGGACTGGAATGTTTAAATATACTATGTTCATTCTCCCAACATTTGAGTGAAGGGAGATCCTCCCTTAAGTTTTGCCTCATCAAGGCCAAAATAAACAGCGACTTTTGATCAGTATCTAGATAGGTCGGTATTTGTGCCCAAATCCCATGAACTGGCTCCAGGGGAGATTTTGGGAGTCCACAAGGCAGTATGACCTTGTTTCTTGAACAGAAGTGTCATATGCAAACACAGAGGAGAGGCAAGAACTTGTGCCTACAAGACGAAGAGCTCCCATTTCATGTGTGTGTTCCTTTGGAGGTGAGCTGCAGGCACACTAAAAGAATGGATGGATGAATTTTCTGTGACCTGTGCTAGCATTTCAGGAAGGTTTTAAAATATTCCAATACCACCCACAAAAACCTTGCATAAGGGCATTAATACTGACGACAAAGTAGATTTTTCAAAGACTACGAGTAATAACAAGAGCTTTACCCCAGCCCCTTCAGTGAGCGCTCCTGCCTGAACTAGTGCGCTACGACTGAAAGATAGGAGGCACAAATAATTCACAAAGACCTGTGCCTTTCCAGATCACCATTCAATCTCTTTTGGCATTCATCATTCTCAAGCTCGCAGATCCTCAGTTTGGAAAACACTGCCGCACGGCCGGGAAGCTCCCTCCTCGGCCAGGAAGGGGGCTCCGCTGCCCGCAGCTCCAGGCAGGCGGCACAGCCCCGCAGACCCCCGGGCTGCCCTCGGCGGGGCTGCGGGCAGCGGCGACCCCGCTCTCCCGGGGAGGAGCAGGAAGCGAGCGCGGAGCTGCTCCCGGCCGCCCTCCCCCGGCACCGGGCCGGCCCGCCGCCCCCCGCCCGCGGGGGCACCCCGATCCCGGCCGGCCAGGG